CGGACGGGTGGTGGTTCTGTTGCTTTGGGTGCGGCGGGTGCGGTGTTGGCGAAGGTTGTGCGGCATACGGATCTCCTTGTTCCTGAGGACCCTCTGTCGCAGGAGAGTCTGGATGTTGCGAGAGGTTGGTTGGAGACGTGCGTGAACAGCCATGGGGCGGACTGCAGCCCATCGGGAGCCGAGAAATGGATGCCCACTCGCCTGCTGGAAGTTGTGCCCCAATCCAACAAAATCTACCTACGGGAATCTACCACGCTCGACTCGACTGGCGATGCTCGGTATGTCGCGCTCAGCCATTGCTGGGGCCAAGGCGGGACCCCTTTCACGACCACACAGCAGACGCTCCCCCACAGGATGAGTGGCATCGCCATCGACAACCTCCCGCAGACCTTTCAGGACTCAGTCACGCTCACAAAAGAGCTCGGCCTGCGGTACCTCTGGATCGACAGCCTCTGCATCATCCAAGACGACGCGGCGGACTGGGCCAAAGAAGCCGCCCAGATGGCCCACGTCTACCGCAATGCGCACCTCGTCCTCAACGCCGCCAACAGCGACTCGGACAGCAAAGGCTTCCTCCAGCCACGGCACACCCCAGACACCGTCCCCCTTCCACCACCACCACCACCAAACACCTTGAACTCCCCCTCACCCTTCACATCCACCCCCCTTAATCTCAACCCCAATCCCTACCCCCTCGCCTCCCCCAATCTCAACCTCAACCTCAAATTCCACCTACAACTCCTCCCCCCCCCAACCCGCCGCCCGCTCAACCCCACCACCACCACCACCACCACCACCAGGCAGGATAGAGCCCTCGCCCACGAACCCATCAGCACTCGCGCGTGGTGCCTGCAAGAGCACATCCTGCCGGTGCGTGCGCTGCAGTATGGCAGGCGGCAGATGTTTTGGGGGTGTGAGCTTATGAGGGCGGGGGAAGGGGGGGATGTTGTTCCGCTGGGGCAGGCGCAGGCGCTGGGGGGTGAGGGGGGTGGTGGTGATGGGGATGAGAGTGATGATGATGGGAGTGGTGGTGAGGTTGTGGGAGGGGGTAAGATTGGGGGAGGGAGAGGAGGAGGGGGAGGGGGGCAGCTGAAGCGTCTTTGCGTGTCAGGGAATATAGACGTTTCGGTGTTTGCGCGGGGAGCGGATCGAGACCCCGGAAAGGAGGCGGTGGTTGCTGTGAACTGGGCTGGATGGTACCGCATGCTTGAGGACTACAGCGCGCGGCGTATTACCAAGCACACGGACCGGCTGCCGGCGTTGGCGGGGTTGGCGTTGGCGGTTGGGCGGGAGACTAGTGGTGGTGCTGGTGGCGAGGATTATCTCGCGGGGATATGGCGGACGGGGTTGCTGGAGGGGCTGTTGTGGTGTAAGGCGCAGGCTGGACAGGTGCTGGTTGCGACGCCGGAGTATGTGGCACCGTCGTGGTCGTGGGCGGCAGTTGTTGGGGCCGTGCAGTTCCCGCTCTATGAGTGGTACACGCGGAGGGCGCACTGGAAGGCGAGGATGGCCGACTTTGAGGCGCTGGCTGAGTATTGTAGTCATGCCATGGTGAAAAAGGATCGGGATCCGTATGGCCGGTTGAATGGTGGGAGTCTCACGTTGAGGGCGCCGCTGTTGAGGGTTGTATCTGTTTGGCCTCGACCAGACCGGCCGCCGGAGCTGCGCTCGCTGTTTGGCCATGCCCCAGACCGCTCGGAGGTGACGGAGGTGGTAGTTCAGATGAAGTTGGGGAGTGGGAGTGTGTGGGTAGAGGGTGGTTTTGAGGATCAGGGTGCTGTGGCCGATGCCACGAAGCTGATTGTCGTCTTCCTTTGCCGACTGCCGCACGTTTTAGAGGAGGGATTTGTTGAGCAGCGGTTTGGGCTCATTTTGGAGCCGGTGGGTGGCAGTGAACAATACCGAAGGGTTGGGTTCATCGATGGCGTGGTGCTCAAGAGGTCCGTTCTTGGTGTTTTCAGGGGACACGGCATGTTCTCTATTGTCGGCTACCCCCGCCCCTTTGAAAAAGACGATGTCTACGAGTCCGTACGAGATAATAACCTAGCCGAGGATCCTCTTAGGCTGGATAAGACGGAGGTTACGATGTGTTGAGATTGCCGGCTGGGCCTTTCGCATTGAACCACTTATCAGATCTACCTCTTGGACAGTTCACCGCCCCAACCGTAACATAGAACAACTTGGTGTTGAAATATTTAGTCTTAATACATGAAAACTCCCTAAGACACAGCAAACTAAGCGAGGCAGTTTGTCACCCATTAATAACATTCAACCTGGCAATGTTGATGGTCTCTCAAATCAGGGGCTAGCCCTCTACAAACCCTTCTCCCCTGTTGATCGCTGCCTCACCTCTTCCCATGATTGGCGTAAGTCTCTCCAAAAGACCGAGCTCGGTCTAACTCGTTCGTACCTATTTCCCCACGTTTCTCTCCAACTGGGCGGTTGCAGCGTGGATTCGCGGGGAGTGACATTGCCCAGCCGGAGAATTTCCCTCTTGAGGAGGACTGCCGACTTGGCATCACGAATCCTCCCAACGTCGTTGCATGCCGCAGGTCGAGCGGGCTACTCAGTTGCCTTGTTCGTCCTTCGCATAACAAGTGCGGCTGATCCCTATGGACGGATGATCTCACGCACCCTTCGGTTACCAACCGTGCCAACATGCCCTCAGCACCCTCCGGGCAGAATGCAACCTCGAAGAGCCGTGCCCAGTATCACATGTTTTGTTGTAAGCTCCGGCGAGGGTTGAAGCCGCGGCTACGACATGGCCGTGGAATTACACAAGATGCCCTTGGGGCCCGGGGCGTGAGCGTGTCGAGGGTTCGAGTACGGCTGTCCCTACGCATCAAAATTCTAAACCGCTAGGGCTTCCACCTGAAGGTTCACCACCTGAGGGTCCCCACTTCCAACTTCTACACAGTAGTTGCACCTCCCCCTAATCCACCACTTGGTGAACCAACCTCCAACATGCTTTCCCTCCCCCAACTCCTGGCAGCGCTGCTCGCCACGGGAGCCACCGCCTTCGAATACAACACCTTCGACGGCCCCGGCTTCCCGTCCTGCTACAACGTATCACGGGTACACAACGCCACCAGCGTCGCCGACATGGTGGCGGTCGTCAAAGAAGTCGCAGCCGCCGCCTCCTCCTCCCCCTCCTCCTCATCCTCCTCCTCATCCGCAGTCGGACGCGTGCGCGCCGCCGGCAAGGGCCACATGTGGTACGACACGCAGTGCAGCGACGCGTGGACGGTGGTGGTGCGGACGGAGCAGGTGAACGCCATCTCCGAGTTTGAGCTGGCGGCGGGGGCGGACAGGGGCTCGGTGTGGGTGGAGGCCGGGACGACGTTCTTTCAGCTGGCGGATTACTTGCACGAGCGCGGGGCGTCGGTGGGGTATACGTTGACGAATTGGAATATTAGCTTTGGGGGGAGCGTGGCGATGGGGGCGCATCGGTCGTCGATTCGGGAGGATAGTATGGTGGCGGCGGGGGTGTTGGCGATGGATATTATTGATGGGAGGGGGGAGGTGAGGAGGGTGGTGAGGGATGAGGGGGATGATGAGTGGTTGGCGGCGTCGACGTCGTTGGGGTTGTTGGGTATTATTGCGAGGATTCAGCTGCAGGTGTATCCGGATACGAAGGTCTATGCTAAGCAGGCGACGTGAGTGATTGTTTACTTTCAGGTACCCGGGGAAGGGAATAGGGGGCATGGCTGACAAGTCTAGGCTTGACGAGAAGGACGTCCTCGACGGGGATATCTACGGCATGATTGCGCCGTATGCGACGGCCAACCTCTGGGTACGTGGTCCATAAGCTCAAAAGCATACAACGCCCTCGTCTGGTACTAACGGAACGTAGTGGTGGCCGTACAAGCGCAAGTTCCACCACCGGTACTACGATCCGGTGCCTTCCAACTCCACCCCCCAGGAAGGGTTCCAGAACACCTTCTCCGTCACCGAACTGGAGGCCATCGCCGCCCGTACACTGCTCGACAGCGGCAAGTACCTGCCCACGTCCAACATGCTGGCCGAGGAGATATTCTTTGGCCTGTGGGAGAAGCCCAACTTCCGGGAGAAGACGACCAACGAAGAGATCAAGGAGTGGCCCGTCTACGGGTGGAATTATGACGTCCTCATTGGCGGCCTGTACCCGGACCAGAAGGCCGAGTGGGAGTACGGCCTGGCGGGCTACACGATGGAGCTGGCGTTCCCCATGCCGCTGGCAAACAAGATGCTGAAGAGGGTCCGGCAACTGTTTGACGATGAGCTCAAGAAGGGGATCGTCATGACCTCGACGTACCGGAGCGGGATCAACATCAAGTGTGAGTTGTCGTTGTTGTGGATGATAAGGGGGCGTAGAGTGAGATGCTAATAACACGGCAGTTGGCAAGGCTTACTTTGACTTCCTCGGCCAGGTCACATACAACACGACGGACGGGGCCGACTGGACCAAGGGCGCCATCATGTTTGATTTTCCCTCGTTCCGGCCTACCATTGGCGACCACAAGCGGTTCAACGAGCAATTCTGTAAGGGATTATAGTCTAAAGCATCCGGGATTACTGTTGAACTGACCGTACCAAAGACCACAGAGTAGCCAACACGCTCATCGACGAGTTCCCCTGCCGCCCGCACTGGACCAAGAATACCCGCGAAGTGTTTACTCGATCGGTCAAGAACCTGGATCCAAACGTGGGTGTTTTAACCAGACTGATGGGTGTGGTTTTGGTATCTTACTGACCTGATGCAGCACCTCCGTCGCTTCAAGGCTGTTCGGGAGCGGTTCGATCCCCAGGGCATCTATCGGAATGTGATTGGGGAGATTCTGGGGTTTTATTAACGCATCCGTGCTGTATATAGATGGGCACATAAGGTACATGGCTAGGTAAGGTACCTAGGTACCTGTAATGACTTCTTGGCTCAGTTTCTCGCCCGCATGCCGACCTCTTTTCGCCACCCTGGACTCTAGTTCTAGTTCTATAAACCTTTTTTGAAAAGACGTTTCACTGGGCACGTAGTGTAGGGGTACACTCGGGTCTCATTATCCACCGGAATAGCTGGTTCGATTCCGGCCGTGTCCACATCTTTTTACTTTTTACTTGTATTCTTTTTATTACTAGGTCTTGTTTAATACTTTGCATGGGAGGCTATCAATACATACTTCTTTCTTGTTGGGATTCTTTCCGCATATTAAGGCACATCATCCTGCCACACATGGTGTTCTTTCATGTTGTCGGCTACCTTAGCTTCAAGGAGGAAGGTGTACTCAGACTTTCAGCAAAGCTGTGAAAGGAAGCCCCCATCATCCATGATCCCCATCCTACCTATTACAAAAAGAGCAGCCCAAACCATGGCACATGTTCCTGCCGTGGAGGACGTGCCAGTTCAGGCGGCACTTCCCCCGGGGCCTGGTCGCGCACCAGAACGTTTTTCCTGCCTGTCGTGGCTTACGCGCTCCATCTATTATCATATCGTTTCATGATCCATGATCCATGATCCATCATCCATCAGCCATCATTAATTTCTCTCTCCCGAGTCGTCATAATACTCGTATTTTCTCTCCGTTTTTCTTCGGATACTACAATTACCCAACATCACTGTCTCCAATAAACCACTTCGGCGCGCAGTTTTAGGTCCATCGTTCCACCATCCACAGTTGTAGGTTGACGGCTGAGATGGACGGAACCAAGAGGTCAACGCCTGCTGCTCAGATGTCTAGCAATCGAGTGGTAAAGACAAATAACAAGACAATTGCAGCCAGATTCAATATCGGGGTGCTGCGCAGTTTGGAAGAAGAGCTGTTGAAGGATCCCGAGGCCAACATCAGCGACCTGCTATCCTCTTCATATCTCAAGAACCTCAAGTCGTTCAGGAAAGGAGGTGAGAATGCTCCCAAATTACTCAATACATAAAAGCTTCACTCGCCTTGCGAACCCCAACCTGATTCAAATTGGAATACGTACCTAGATTGCCGACCTACTAGCCAAACCCCGCGACCGCTTCCCAGCGATGACATCCGCTCCAGGCTTCACAGTGACGATTCTGCAACTATTGCACGCGAGTTGTCTACTGAGCTCCAGATTCTTCTCGGACGCCGTAGGCCACTCTCCGGCGCTGTTATCAAGCTATTGGATAAGAGCGAAGTACTCTACAAAAGCCCGTGGGCCGCTTGTTGCATGGTTTTCCGTGTCAGCGACGAAATCGTCGCGAAAGTTACACTCGAGGAGCTTATCACAACTGAATATCGGACCCTGGCGTACCTACAGAAACACTTGCCGGGCTTCCCGGCGCCACGTTTGCATGGCGTGATCCGCATCGGGCCGTATGGCTTGCTGTTCACATCTTTCGTCTCAGGCCTCAACTTGGAGAAAGTGTGGCCCCGACTGGAGGACGCCCAGAAACGGTCCATCGGCACCCAGCTTGACAAGCTCCTCATCGACCTCCGATCCCTTCCGTTTCCGCCAGAGACGCCGCTTGGTGGGGTAGGCGGCCAGGGCTGCAAAGATGGAAGACGAGTTGTACGCATCAGCCCCGAGCCCATTTTGGATGTCAGCCAATTCGAAGATTTCATCTTCGCTGGCTCCAAAACCGCCTCGCAAATGTACACCCAATTCCTGCGATCTCTGATGCCCGCATCTCCGGCAAAAGTTACCTTTACCCACGGAGACATCCGGCCGGCAAACATCATGGTGCGCGAGGACGAGGAAGGCTCTTGGACCATTGTTTCCATCCTTGACTGGGAGTCGAGTGGCTTCTATCCTGAGTACTGGGAATGCGTCAAAATGACCAACAGCCTTATCCCTAGGGACCAGGATGACTGGTATCTGTTACTGCCGGAGTCCTTGTCGCCACGGCAGTTCCCAGTGCAGTGGCTGATAGACAGGATATGGGATCCTAACCTGGAGAACAGCTAGATTAGCAGGTATATACGTTATTAGAACCCAGGCAGCTTATAGGTCTAGCTATCCTTGGATGGCATATAAATAGAATCGTTAAATAGCGTTGAATGTGTACATCCCGATGTAGCTACAATCAGGGTCAAAGAGAGTAAGTTCACACCTTTAAAATCACACCCAAATCCCCCCCAACTCGGGTTCATCACTCGATGATAATCCACCACCAACAATTTTTAAAATATAAAATAAAAATGCTAGGAGGTGTAGTATTATGTTAAAATACCAGGTAAAACAATGTGGTTCATTTTTATATTTGTCGTGGGCAGCTGCATTAGGTTCAAGTTACCATCAAGGGCTTCCCATACAATTCCCCACACAAAGTTGGAGGAAAAGTGTGAACTTACTTTTTGATCCTGACTTTTAGGCCGTAACGGTAACGGATCTGTTTGTTGGTTCTATCATCTGTGCAATGATGGCAGGAGCTACTTACACTCAGTCTTACTTACCTCGGAAGGGAGTGCGTTTGCAGTTTACCCCGCTCTGGCGAGACTCCACAGTACCTACCTCTTACACTACGGATTCACATCGCCGTCATCCCTGAACCCTCGGTAACCATCAATCATTTTCTGAGTCCTGACTAGACACTCTCCCACCATGGGTCGCGTTTGTGCGGATTGCGGGCGCGACCTTCCCCAGACCTCGTACACGTCCAACCAGTGGTCCAAAGGTATTGGGATGTCGCGATGCGCCGGCTGCGTTCACGGCCATTCCTTCGACACGCCTGCTCTCGAGCAATCCGACAGTGGCCGGTACAACCAATCCAACAAGGCCGACTTTGACGAAGATGACCTCGAGAATCCTTTCGCATCGGGTGCTTTTCGTTGGGTTGCCAGGGGAGTTTACACCAGCGGCGCACGATCTGGCCAAGCTTGCGTTTTGAAATGGTTCAAGACGGGCGTTGTCTTCGAAGATGAGTACTTTGCTCTCGACATCAAGGCAGTCGATAAAGCTCTGGAGATTGTGAACCGCTTCAATGAGCTGAATATGGTCAACAAGACCGTCAAGATCAACGTACCCGCGGTGTGGGTGTTCCAAAAGACGTGTTCCCGGGCTGGCCAGAAAGCACTGGTTGAGCCCTTCATCCAGAACTACAAAAAGTTCAACAGCAACACTGGTTGGATGGACGATTGGGGCCAGTGGCCGCAGGTCATGCAGGCCTTGAGCCGTAGGTGCAACCCTAACACTGATCCATGCATCACAACAATCCGTGACCTCCACTGAGTCGGCCTGACTGATAACATTTTCTGCTACCATGCAATAGACTTCAGCTACCACATCTCGGGCGGAAACTACGTGCTTTGCGACCTGCAAGGCGGCATTTACCAGCACGAGCTCGTCCTATCCGACCCGGTGATCCTCTCCAGCAACGGCGACTACGGCGTCACCGATCTCGGCCGCAACGGCATCATCTCCTTCTTCAGCCAGCACGACTGCAACCAGTACTGCCGCCCCCACTGGACCATGCCCGCCAACCCGCGCCAGATCTTCAAGCCGGAACCCGGCACCACCATGCTCCGCCGCACCGTGACCACCGCCCTGTCCCGGCCCAAAAATACCCGTGATTATGGGAGCTGGTACTAACCGACACGAGTTGTGGAGAATTATGTCGTTGGCCCTTGGGGTATGCGATTGGAACCTTGGGAGGATAGGTACAGAGGGTGTTTTCCACCGAAGGAGTCGGAAGGATCAGGTGCCGTAGCTTGGACCGCCGTTTCTAGCTGCGTGTGGTTTCAAATTCCCACAGTTAAAACCACGGCACTACGTAGATGTTTGGACTTTCCAATTGATGCCTAGACTCGCAATTGAAGTGACGTGTGATATGTATGTTGTGCTGATGGTGCTAACACGTGTGACGTCTTAAACAAGATGACCTACCTAGGTAGGTAGGTAAATAACGTAATAAACAGAATACAAGTGAAAAAAGAGTGGACACGGCTGGAATCGAACCAGCTACTCCGGGGTACCCTTAATGAGAAACCCGGGGGCATACCAGTAACACCACGACGTGCCCAACAAAACTGGTTGTTAAAAAAGCTTATAAGGCTTGATTGGTGTCCGATGGCCGGGTTTCCATGTGGTACTAATTCCCAAATCTTCATCATCTCTTCCATCTCCTTCGACTGCCTAATCACACAGTCGATGGGGCTCGAGATTATACATTTTTCCAACGAGCTGAATATCGTTAATAAGATTATCAAGATCAACGTGCTCGACACATGGAATGGGGCTTCCTCTCACAGCTTTACCCGCAACAAGATGACCTCGATATATAACAAAAAGAATACAAGGAGAAAAAAGTGGACACGGCTGGAATCGAACCAGCTGCTCCGGGCCGCCGGAAAATGAGACACCCGGGAGCGTATAGCAACACCACGACGTGCCCAACAAAACTAATTGTCAAAAAAAGCTTATAAGGCTTGATTGGTTGGTGGTCGGCGGTTTCCATGTCTTGGCATTAGTCCCCAACTGCCGCAACTGCCTCACCATTCCCTCCTTTTCTCTTACTTTTTGATTCAGATCACTCACATTCAACGACGCCATGTCGTCTCAACTCCCCAACATCGACGACCAGCTCGTCACGCTCACCAACCCGGCACGGGAAGACCTCGATGGCATGGACCACGCGCGATGCGCTGCTCTCCACAACTACCTCATCGACTACTGCCTCGCGGCTGATGGCCGGCTCAACAAAGCTAGCCAAGGCAGCCAAGCCAACTACTTCAGCACGTTCGGGGACGCGGCCGAGGCCGTCCGCCAACGGCTCCATCCCTCGGTGGCCGACTTCCTCACCGCGGCACACACTCCCGATGCGCCACTCTTCTACTTTGTCGACGGCATGCCCGACCCTGACTGGGGCAATTTCAACGGCCTCTTCGCCAACGAGACGGCCGACCTCGAGGACGAGCCCGAGGACTCGATCGTGCGCCTCTACTCCTCCCACCCGGACGCCTGCGGCGGCAAGTCGGGCGGCGGCATGCTCTACCACCAGCGCCGCCACCTCGCCTGCTTCTTTGTCCACCCAGACGACACCGAGTGTGCGTTCCCGGTCAACGAGCATCCGCAGTGCTGGCATCCCCTGGAGACGATCCTCTCGCACTGGATAGCGCTGATCCGCCTCGGCAAGGTCGTCGCCTCTCCCAACAACGAAGACCCGGCGCTATACGGCAGCCCCAAGATCTGGAACTGGGAGTGGCGGCCATACAGCGAGGGCCAGGTAGCCGGGTGCGTCGCGGCATGGGACCGACTCTGCGGCGCCATCGAGGCGCGCCGTCGGCAAAGCCGCGGGGCCACGGTCGATGACAACTCAGCCAACCCAGCCAGCAACCACCCCAGCGGCGAGCCCTTACTCCCACCAGCCGCCCTAGACGCAGCCAACATCACCCACCCCTCCTTCGCACGCTCCTTCCTCACCCTCGCCCACCGCCCCCGACACATCCGCCACATCGCCCCCGGGCTCTCCCTGCCCCCCACGGACGCGGCCGCCTTCGCCGCCGCCCAGCCCTTCACCCACACCATGCCCCGGCAGGCGCGCCACTGGCACGGCACCGAGCCGGAGGAGGAGGGGATCGTGCCGCCCGTGTACCTGTTCTTCAGCCACGCGGGCGCGCCGCAGGTCGACGTCTCCGGCTGGCGGTCCTCCTTCCGCGGTCACTGGGGTGAGGACGACGGGCATGGCGTTGCCTTCCCGTCTCGGGTGCCGCCGGGGGTGTACAGCGAGTGCGTCAATCGGTCGGAGCCCGAGGCGACTGAGGAGGGCTTCCGGGTGTTGTTGCCTTTTGGTGTGTATGGCGCGCGTGTGAGTAGTGGGGGTGGGGTGCGGAGTATGGCGGCGGATGAGCTGTTTCAGCATGGGTTTAAGCCTTTTGGGGGGGATCCGAACCGGCCTCAACGTCTGGAGCGGTTGTTAGGCCATTGGGCGGGCTTGGTTGAGCGGGGGGTGTGGGCTGTTGGGCCGTGTGGTGTGGAGGGTTCGATTGAGGTGTTTGGGGATGCGGTGGTGAATTGGGCGGATTATACCATCCCGTCGAGCTGGTGAAGTGGTGACACAGTGACACCGTGACACTGGTGAGGCGCATTTGAACAACCCTCACATTCCAAGTTTCTGAATTTAACTTGATTGATTAATCCAAACTCTGCTTGTGGTCGCAAGGAATTAAAACCACGTGACAAAATTGACCATTGGGGTGCAGCAGGACTGCAGATGCGTGTCAGCCTGAGGCCTTGAGTGTCAGGCCGCCCGCCGCACTTGCAACTTCCTTCATGTTGACCCCAGCGTTTGAATTTTTGAACGCAGCCCACAAATTGTCGATTCAGTCAAACACGTCATTTCCCAAGTCTGGTCAAAATGCAGTATTGTGCTGAGTGCGATCGTCATTTTGGGACCGTGGAATCGCTTGAGCAGCATCGCCGTGATTCAGCTCGGCATGCCGATGCAGTCCATCCCTACAGTTCGACAACCGCCTCATTATTTGGACCGACAACCGTCTCATCCATATTTGCACCGCCAGCAACCGCACACTCTGTTTCCCAGACAACACCCTCATCGGCAGCTTCTGAAATTGCCGCCCCAGCGACCCAGACAGCCACAGCCCGCGATACGGCCGAATATGATACGATGGATACGATTGAGACGATTGAGACCTCTGAAATCCTCATAGATGCTCTAAGAGGGTATGTCGTACTTACCCTATCATTTGATTTATTTCTCTCTCTCCGACCGCCTCCCTCTTTGAAACTATTAGGTGTTGACATTGGCCCTCCAAATAGGCTCTATACCAGCGGGGACTACTCGGATCTTGTCATATCCTGCCAAGGAAAGGAATACAAGGTGCACAGGGCCGTCGTATGCACCCAGTCCGACTTCTTCTCTGCAGCTTGCCGCGGAGGCTTCAAGGTTAGTGGCAGTCCATGCACTAGCAAACTAGCAACGACGCGAAACTAACACGATAGTAGGAGGCACAAGAAGGAAAGATCGACCTCCCAGATGACAGCCCTCGCCTTGTCCACATCATGGTACATTATCTGTACCACTTCGACTATGACGCAGAAATGGGCGGACACGAACCCGACGTCGAGGAACTAGCAGAGGGGCCCCTTTACACTCATGCCCGGGTTTACGCCTTGGCAGAGAAATACCTGATCCACGGGCTGAAGGCTGTCGCACTTCGACAATTCAAGGCAGTTATTGCGAGCTCCTTCAACATGATTGATTTCCTGCAGGCCATGGAGGAGGTGTATATGTCTACTGTGGAGGATGACAGAGGCCTAAGGGATGTTGTCGTAGAGGCCATTTGCAAGCACCCCGCTTGGCTAGACAAGGAGGATGTACGAGAGGTGCTTGGGAGGTTGGGAAGCTTGACGTATGATATAGTCATACACTTGCGCGAAAGTGGTTTTTTTCTAAACTAGGGTCCGTTCACATGTTGACAAGATGGCCTCGATGAGGTGTGGGAAGTGATGCTTCACAATCAAGTACCTATCTAGCTGTCGACTTTCATATTGTCAAAGACGACTCGGAACAACCGAGGTACAAGGAAGACCCTAATGGCCCTTTCATTCCCGACTTGGACTTTGTGCAGATTTTTGAGGACAGTGGGGTCAAGTGCATGTTTCGTACAAACCGTTAGATCTGTTCCTCTTTGATGCAAACTACAAGTTAATATTTCCGTTGTTCGTATTAACCCTAAGTTATCCATGTAAATTGGTTTTGCTTGCATCCGGCTCTGGAGGGGTCTGGTACCTAAGGTAGGTATTCAACCTAAATCAAGTCGAGCACCACTTCACAAGTCCAAGCAGGCACAAAAGCCCATCCCACTTTCTCAAACCTTCCACTTCCACTGCCACACCAGTTTTGGAAGATCCATCTTGAATAACCTCGACTATGTCCGAGGCAGAACAGCTTCGGGATCGGCTCGGCGAGCCCCAGAAGCGCATCGAGCCTGCGACACCAAAAAAAGAACTGGACTGGTCGAAACCCTACGACGGAGCGGCCGAAAACACCAGCATTTCGGAATCGCAGCCCTCGTCACGGTCAGCAGCCGATCCCTTGCGCGACGAAGAGCTCAAGAAAGAATGTGCAGTCCCAGAGCATCCGACCAACACCGAGGCGGTTCGACGAAGTGACAATGAAGACGAGGGACGAGATGGCGACCTATCTCTAGATACAGAGAGAGAGGACAGACTCAAAGAAACAGCATCGAATGCCAGTTCCGGAGACGGCGACCGAAAACGGTTGCCCCACCCCGACACCGACTTTCGTACTCGACAATATTGCACACAAGCCTGCCTGCTAGGCCTCAAGAGAGGGTTGGATCTTGACGGTAACTGTCCCAATGTTTCCTTGCATCAGACTGCCGAGGGCGGCAACCGCCACGCCATTACTATTGACGAGTTTGTGACGCTAGTTGACAAACAGTTTCGTCGCGGCGTGTATCGCAATTGCATCGCGCTGGATCCCTTTGGCTTCGAAGGGAAGATTCGGTCGATAGGCGCCCTTTTCAAACTGCAACTGGCGCCGTACGGCTACACCTTCGTCGCCAAAGGGACAACCCCCGCGCACTACAGCCTCCTGAAACACGAGAGCCTCGTCTACTCGCGCCTCGAGAGGCTCCAAGGCGAGGCAGTGCCAGTGCACCTTGGCATCGCAGACCTCTCCTGGGGCAATGGCTACATCCTCCCCGGCGCGGTTTACCGCGTCTACATGATGATGATGGCTTGGGGCGGCGAGGTGGCCCGCGATAAAACGGTGCCGGATCTGTATGCCGAGAAAAACCGTTTGATGTGCGCGATGTGGGATGAAGGCGTCTGTCACCCCTACGAAAACAATCCTAGGTATCTCTGGGACGAGGAAGCACAGCGTGTCATGGCCATCAATTTTGATCAAGCTGCTTTTCGCCCGGCGCCCAAACACAAGCGACTCTTAGCCTTGCGTCGTCCTGCGCGGAAAAGGAAGCGGCGGAGGGTTCGCCACTCGGGCAACAAGAACAAGAAACGGGTGTCATCCGGCAGTGG